AATTTACGGTACTAAGATGAGACAATGGTTGTAGATATCTATATATATATATATATTTATATGCTTTAAAATTATATAAGCGAATTAAAATATTATAAAAATATTTGAAATTATATTAAAAATATTCAAACAACTTTTGCTAAAATTGAATAACGTATTTAAATACCGATTTATTTTATTTTTTATTTGTAAGCGTTGTTTTTAGAAAGTTTGACTATAGAACGATTTTATCGTTTTTCACTATATCGAGTCTATCTGAATAATTATTGGAATAAATAGTTTGCTTTATTTGCGGATCGATATTTTTATGTCAACAAAGATTGAAAATTTCGTATATAAATTTTACTAAAAATTATTTATATACATATACACACTTTTTAATAACATAAAACTTAATTATAATATAAATTAAAATAGAATATTTATTATTATTTATATTTGAATATTAATAATATTATAATTATTTTTTTATGAAAGATTTATAAATAATAGAGAATATGAAAATAATGTTTGAAAGTATCGGAAGTACATTATTACACACATTTTTCTTAAAAAATGTTATTAATTTTGAGCGATTTTAAATTTCAATAATAACAGCTATGACAGGTTATTTAAGACTTCATTAATAATTATATTTATATTTATGAAACGGGGAAAATTTATATGTAATCGGTTGTAATAGAGTTTATATTGACACGATATACAGTATATTTGTTATTAAATAACTAAAAAATATTTATAATATATTTTTTATATTTATATATATAAATTTATATATATTTTCATTTTATTTTTGTATCCTAGAAAAGATGATATATAAATAATCATTGGCCCACATTTATAGCAATCTTGATCTATAATACCACGATCTTTAAGAGTATAGCAAAACATAGATGTCACTATTAAGTTTCTTACAAATTAAAAGTATATAAAAGATAATGAACAATGAATAATTTTATTTACAAACATCCATGTAGCGGAAAATAAATAATAACTACCTAATCCCCTTTGAAGCGTATCTAAAGATGAAACTTAGTATTTTTCTCGAATGTTCTTTCATAATTTTTTTCCATTCTACTATAGTAATTAAGAAGAGTAAATTTATATTTCAGATTACATTTTCAAAAAGTATATAAATTGCAATTATATGTAAAAATATAACCAGTTGAGTTTAATGTATAAAATAATTATGTAAAGCGATATAATTCATATTAAAAATAGTTCATGAGTTTACATGCTTACTAATCAAAATAAATAAATCTTCATAAATACGTATCTATGCATTTTCAACAATGTCCCATCGAGAATTGTCAATACCGACACTTAGGGAACGTTATGAACTAACTTGACAGGAATTGAAATCTATAAGTATTAGGTACAATGTATGAGACAGTGAAGTACGAGAATTACTTTTGCAGATATTGCGGTTATTCCGAAGGCATAAAATGCGTGAAAATACGGTTCGAGATTTGGTCATTCTATCGGTCTTTTGTAATCCACCTAGACACTTTACCAATCCCTTTTATTCGTTTATTTTGGTCTCTCTGTTCAACATTATCGAATGGGAAAGAAGTACAAACTGAAAAGCGATAATGCAAGAAAGACATGTTTTTGCATTTGTTGTTCCTATACTGCAGCCACTCTCGATAACCATATCTGCAACAGTTCTTTTCTACTATCGCCGAAGGGCCGGAACGACTAGACTGTGGAACGTATTTCGTTGTGCACCAGATTGTCCTCGTTTTTCTACAAAGTAATGGATATGCTGTTTCATCACATTTCGACAATGTTTTATTATTAATCTGAATATTAGCGCGATGAAGCTGTTTCATATCTAATTCTTGATCATCCAAATATCTATTTCATGTTTTGTTTTTCTTTTGTCTTAAACTTCTACATTTTTTGTATTAATATAACATACAATTAAAGCTTCTATTTTAGCATATACTTGTTTTAGCGTAAGCTAATACATTATATTACTTGTTTGTAAAATTAAATAGCACAATTTTTATATTACTTTTAGAAGTACTTATCATGTTTCATGAATCCGAAATAAGAAAACCATTATATTTTATTTTGACTTCATTATTAAATCATCTATGTGTATGAAGCGTTTAAATGTTCTCCCCTCTGTTGAATCATTCTCTTATAATTTGGCATTTATTTCTATTATATCTTCTGAACAATTTATTCTCAACTTCGATATATTAACGTGCGAAAACAATTTAGAAGCTTTGATCCATAGCGATTGACAAGTTTATATAATAATTATTACAATCGTTTAAAAATACAGAGATAATCTTTTTAATTACAAGCGTTGAGATTGCACAAAACTAGACTGTTGCGATTATTATTATTATATCAAATGGTTTTGTTAAATATTTTCCAAATGGAAGAAATTAACATTAGTATAAAAAAGTTCGCTGGTTAAGCAAGCACTCATTATTTTATTCCGTAGAAAAGATCATGAAATATTATTCGCTGATAAATTCTGACGTTTCAAATTTTATAAGGTTTTGTATGATTAGTTTACGAGTTAGTCGAGTTCAATGAACTGATAGATATCAAAATTGGATATAGCGATAAGATATGTACTTGTGAATAAAAATATAAAATTTTTGTTAAAATTTTTGTTGATTATAAATGAATTTTAAGTATTTAGTGTATAATTTTATTTATGCATCAAATGAAGTAATGAAATTATGAATGAAATAATGAAATTATGATGCTGGCAGTAATAAATATAGAAAATATGTTTTAATTTAATTTCGTGTAGTTTTTCTGTTAATGTTATTTTTTTATTAATATTTTAGAGAAAACGCTTAGCTATCGTTAACTTGTATATTTTATATAGTTAAAAAATCTATATATTTTTTACAAATTCTTTTTTTCCTAAATTATTGAATTCGTCTAATAAAATTTATCACCGCTATCAACAAAATAATAATGTTCATATAAATGTATATATATTAAATTCAATATATCTGAAAATAATCTGTCAGTAAAGATATTTTTATTTTTTGACAATTCTTTTACCAATAATTTTACAGATGTGTTAGATTATACTTGATTATGATTATAATTAACCTAATATTGTAATATTGGAAATAAGTATTATATAGCTATTTGGAAACATGTTATTTGATACAAAATAAAGTAAATAAACATAATGTTGTTATGAATAGTTATCATATAATCATGAAAATATAAATATTGTAAAGAAAATTATCAAATTAATAATATATTAAATAAATAGGAAAATTGAGGAATAATTGAACATAGATGCATGATATAAGCTAATCAAAGATTTTAAATATAATTCTGATAATTAGAATATATAGAACTTTATTGATAATTATGTATAATACGTGTGAAACTTATGTCATTTATATGTTTGTATTTTTAAGATTAAAAATATAGATATTAAAAGATCGTATTTTATATTCAAAATGTTACGTATTATTGTTTATTCGGTTATTTATTTAACTATTATTCTGTATATTGTGAATTTAATCGAGAAAATTATCATCTTTTTCTTAATAATGAAAATAATCAATAAGAAAAGCCATTTACTTTAGTACAGATACCAAATAGCGATGTTCTATTGTTATGAAATATTAAAATTTAAATTGCGGGCTATAAAAAAGAAAGCATCTATGATTTAATATTTTAAAAAATACAGGATATATATAAATTTAATAAGATTGAAGTTAATGTGATTGAAATACAATGAATATTGAATTATGTATAAAAATAATTTTAAGAATAAAATTTTGTTACAATCAAATAAATTTAATTAGTCAACATTTTTATCATTAATTGTAATATAATACATATTATTTAAATTGTGGTAAATAAACTTTCAGAATTTGTTTTTGTTATCGAAATATTTATTTATTTATGTAATGTAATAAATATAAAGTATATGTATATATATATATATATATATATATATATATATTATATAACGTGGAAATATGCCTAAATAAATAATTTAAAAATGAATAGTTAAATTTTTAATAAATATATATTAGAATGTCATTAAATAATCATTTTGTTAATTCCAAAAGATCCTATTAAAAGTACAAAAAATTACAAATTAGTTTTGTAAGATTTTAATAGATGAGTTAGAAAATTATTTTAGTATGAAATATCCGATTGGCTCTTATTTGAATAATAAATTGTCAGTACAAAAGAAATAATCAATATAATTAATAAAGTATTGCAATAAAACAATAAATATAAATAAATGATTTTTGTGCTTCATTTATTGTTATAATTTTTATGTGCTGTCTATAGTTAATATAATTTTTAGGTACATTATGTAATACAGTTTCATAAAATAATCAATAAACAAGCATGTAAAGTTAAATTATTACAAAAACATAATCATTACAAAACTATATATAAAGAAACTATATGAAGGATGATATAAACGTTTTATCAATTATTTCAAATTTATGTAGTATAACAAAGAATCTTATATTGTTTAACAGTATATAAATTTTTAATTCTCTACTAAAACAATTACGAATTATAAATAGATTTTTGGATATATAATAATTAATAATATTATAAATTGATAAAATAATTTTTTTCTAATAAAAAACGAGATCTACGAATGTTTATAACGATAAATGTGTATTTACAAAACATTTAAAGCGATATTATAGAAAATTTGTTACATCTTCTGCTATATAAATCTGTTTTATTTATACATGGAAAAATGCTAAAAGTAAATATAAATTATGATAGTAATAGTGATTAAAATGATTGTCGATTTTTCAGAACTGCAAATATACAGTGTGAAAATATCGTTCTGATCCTAAAGAGATTGCAGAAAAATCATTAAATGAAAGTAAACGGTATCGCCTATATTTCCGGATTCTCCCACTTTCATGACCCGCCGGTCACTGCAAAAACGCTGCCCCGCTCTGATCGTTGTTATGTGAAAGAGGAAATGTAGTAGAAGCAGTATGTTTGCTTTCTTTTATCCCCGTTCATGTTCTTTCAGTCATTGATTATGCCTCTGCAAGAGTGGTACGGTAACCGCGAAATTCTCCTTACCGGAGTAACAAGCGAACTTGGGCGCAATTTACTTGAGAAATTATTACGATGTTTTCCGAATATAAAAGTGCACCTGGTATTGAGATCGAGAAGAGGATTATACACACTTCAGCGCGTAAAAGAACAAATTTATAATTCTCCAGGGTATGATTTTATTATTACCATTTGTGAATTATTCTAGACTGTGTTAGTTACGAATTACCTGGAATTTAAAAGTATGATCAATTGGCCACAAACATTCCTACAATGTTTTAAGATAAACTTTTCAACACTATAGACATTTTTATTATAATCATAAATATATTTAATTATAAAATGAAAGTAAAAAAGCTTTATTTTATATTATATATTGTAAAGATAAAATAGGTATTGCATAAATTATATATTATTAGTATTCAATTCTAATAATTGTAAATAAACTTTTTCGTACAATTTATAAAATACTAAAACATAGATTTTCAAATGCATGTAAAAAATCATTAATACAATATAATTTTTATTTATTTTCTCTTATTCACACAAAACATTAGTCCTATTAGAAAATAATAATATTAGGTTTTTTTTTTTTATCATTTATTAATGTTTAATAAATTTTATATTCAGAAAGTTTTAAAATATTTAATATTTGCAAACTCATTAAATAATCAATGTATTAATTTGTCAAATATTAATTTTTAATCAGTTACATATACACACGCACGCACGCACGCACACAAAAAACATCAATTTAATGACAAACAAACTATATTTAATCTAACATACAATGAACTAAATAATAATCTGCCAAAATAATAATTAACAAATAATATAGTAATAATTTTTTTATAACTTTACAATTCTGCACATTAAGATCATTAATTTAAATGTATTTACAAATAATAACAAAATTTAAATCTTATGAATATGATGATGATTATTATTATCAATAATTCAAGATAGAAGTAATAGAAATTATATGAAAAATATCAATTGAATCGTATCAGTGACATCTATCATAATATTTATTCATCATTATTACGGTAGTTCAAATATTCATTCTAAACTTGTATTTAAAATTCATTTTATATTTTATCTTTAAAAAGTTGGAAGAATATTTCTTTTTTGAGTGAAGCTGCAGTTAAAAATCAGCATTCTATAGGTTTTTAAAAATTTTACAGTATTGAGATAAAATATATACTAAACAGTAATTGAGATATAAAGTCTGTTTATTGCATTTAAACATTATATGTTTGGAAATTTTTGGTATTAAAAAAAAATGTATTCTTGGGAATATCATTGTCTTAAAAAATATAAATTACATCTTTTTTTGTGCAACCATATATATAAAGAGAGTATAATGTTACTTGATATTGAAATTCTTAACTAATGATAATTTATTTGTTAAATTGCAATTAGTAATAATTACAGTTAGTAAAATTTTTCTCTATTTGTTTTTATAGATATTTCGATTGTTGTATATTATGATTATTTGATTTAGTAAACTATTTAGGCAAATAAAATAATTGCTCTCTAAATTTCTAAATTAAATGTATTTAGACAATATTCAATAATCGTTTATATATAATAATATTAATTGTCTACTAAATAATAAGTCTTCAGTTTTTTTGTTAGTTTCTAAATTACTTTCTCTTATGTACATCTATTTAATTATTAGTTTTTGTTAAATTAATTAAATAAAAATATTGTAACTAACAATTTTGGTAATTCTTTTATTAATAAGCATAATAAAATAGGAAATGTATTAAAAAATATATGTAAGGAAAAGGTAGATAAATGTTAAATATTATTAAGCACAATAATTTTTTCGGAGTGCTTTTCTATATAGTACGACATCTTAATATTGTACTATAGAAGTATATTAGTAAATAGGTATTTGATAATAATTTTTTTTAAATAATGTTTTAGGTATGATAGATTACGCCAGGAACAACCCGACGCGATTTCTCGTGTCGTAGCTTATGAAGGTAATCTGGTTTATGATAATTTAGGAATACGGCGCCAAGATCATGAGGCAATGGCTAATGTCACTGTAGTCTTTCACGCTGCGGGACCATTCGAGTGTCTCCTCAAATTTTGTTCTCAATTACCAAAGTTACATACCGTTGTCATGGCCAGCGATCTGCTAAGGTTTGATAATAATTTTATATATATCTGAATTTTTATCAATTAATTAATTAATTCAAATAATAAATAAATATATATATATATATATATATATATATAGAGAGAGAGAGAGAGAGAGAAATAGTTATTTTTTTTTAAATATCGATTACTTCTTACAAAATAAATATCTTGATTCTTCTTCATGTCATACTAAAAATAAAAAAATATCGAATATGCTATTAATTATTATATTTAATTTTATCATTATTATATTAGTTATAAAAAATATATTCTGAACAATAAACGGTTACGTTATTTAAATATACTATATTTCTAGTTAGTAGCAAAGAATTAGATTGGCATTATTACATTTTTAAAAATAAAATCGAATAAAAATATTTGTATTTAATAGTACAGTACTTTAGAAAGTTAAATAGAATTATTTGAATATTAATAGGTAATGATATGCAATTATTCACGAAATTAAGTCAAACGTCATAATTATAAACTCTTATGTTATTAATTTAGTGTAATAATATAATGACAAAAGTCACAGTGTTCGATATAAATTTCTATTTTTGTAATTTCAATATTTTTGGCATTTTAATATTTTCATCATTACTTTAAAATAAAAGCAACCATACATATTAGGAAATTTTCATTAATGGATTTATATGAACATATAGAAGTAAGCAATTTAAAATAATTAACATGATGTTTATAAAATATTGCCTTAGAAAGATATGTAATTACGTGTAATAAAAAAATCTGTAAAGTACAATATAAATCGCTTAAATTTTTACATTCTTAAGTACATCTAGCTTGCGAGCAGCTTTCTTTTATTTTACCTAGTTTATTCGTGACCTCACCTTGGATTTTTTGTTTCCTAGACCTAGGTGTTTCATCGTGGTTATACTGCATTGTTATAATGAGAAAACTAGCTGGACAGAAGGAGAAAGGGGGAAAGAAACAGGGATAGAGACATAGTCTGATCTGGGGGGGGGGTGAAGATAATGAAAGAATATTAAAACAGAATAGAGTAAATGAGAGGGAAAGCTGATTGTAATTTACTAGAAATATAATGGAGTAATAATCTCATATTATATGAAATCATATATGCTTCTATGTGTAAGATATTAATTGTAACAGAAATATACTCACGTACAAGTTGATCCGATGTTACAAAACAACGTTGTTAATTATTATAACTGCTGACAAATTAATAATGAAGTATATATTTAGTTAAATGCTTATTTATTATTAAGATTATTAAAATTATATAAATTGAAATGTACTTGCAAATAAATGATATATAATAATATTTCATTTTTCATATCACGCAACTACTTATAAATACATATATTTTAGTTTTTTTTTTTTTTAAATTTACAACAAATATATTGTGCCAAATTTAGTTAAATTGCTAACCCGAAAAAGATAAATTTTGTTTTCTTCATATTTATGTTTTCTAAATCATGAAAAATACTGAAATAAGCTATGAAACCATATTAATATTTCAACATTTAAATCTATTTTATTGATTTTGTCTACCAGTTTTTAAGAAATATACTCATTGTACTAACATTGTGAGCTTTATTTATGACAATCACAAAATCAACAAAATATTATTAAAACATCGAATTTCATTAGTATCATAATTTCAATAATACCCTATTCAAAATAAAATGTTAATGTTAAAGCAGTGATATTTTTAATAACATTTCATTTTAACGGTGAATGAAATCAATCTAATGCAATGCATAAATTTACTATAATAAACAAATTTTTTGTATAAAATTACATTATTTTTATTAATACTAATTCGATAAATAATATAATATATTTATTTTAAATATAATATATTTACTTTACAATATAATACTTTGATTAAACGTTATATTTAATGTGTTGAAATTTCAATTGCATATTATGAAAAATTCATCATATCTATCTTAAATAAGTGCAAATAATAAATGTCAATAAGTAATAATAATATAAATTTAATAATATTCGATACTTGATTATATCCTATCAGTTAATTAATAATAGTTATATTAAATAATATTATTATTATAGTTGCAATGAACATCAGGTGATCGAACATACTGTATACGAGTCCGTGCCAAATGGGTTACCACTTGGAATTGTTCGACTTCCATCACTTGGACCTGCTTATCGAGAGCCCATGCCTGGATATGTCGAACTATTGAAAGGCGCAACCGCGGTAATGGTTGGTGCAGGATACTTACGGGGACGTAAAGATTTACCTGTTGAAATTATTCCAAGAGACATAGCCACTAACACATTCATCGCTGCTGCCTGGGACGTGGCAAATAGGTAAAAAGTGGAAACATATATGCATTATTATATTTCAATTTAAAAGATTTCTATAAAAATAACCTGAGAAAATAATAAAAATAGAAATTAAACTAAAATGATTACACAATTTTTTTTATAATGTAAATGAATTTGTGGTAGTTGAAACGATAATTCCTAAATTATATTATATCAATATTATATGAAGTTTTTAAAATATTTTTAATTGAATTGAAACGATTAGTTCTTATAAATAAACAATTATTTGACTTTATTATGCTTTAAATTATTTTAATTGAATTATACAGAAAAATCAAAGCATTAAAAAAATTTCTAATGTTTATAAACATTGAGGCTGTAATTTTTTTATCGAACCTGTATATAAGCATTTTAAATAATAAATTTTGACTGTAAATAGTGGTCTGTCTTTAATATTATATATATGCAGAATAATTACTGCATTTCACCTATGTTACTTGTAACACTAATAATGTTAAAGTATTCAAACAATTAACAAAATGTACATATGCAGAAATATTATTACTAGGATTATATATATAGTAAATTATTATTTTTATTATTTTTTATTATAATATATATATAGTCATTAAGTAAAATTAACGCTTTTTTATAATTACAACATTCAAACAATTAGTTTACAAAATTCATTATTCATAACGCCTTTTTATTTGAATTTATTATTTGTTTAAAAATGACATATATTTATTGGCAAATTTGAACATAGCAAAGACATTTACTATTTTTTCTTGACTTATACGGCTTTGCTTCCAATCACTTAATTTGAAGTAATTTACTTTGTTCCATTGAAAGATAAACAACTTAATATACTCTACGATGTGTTAAATATTTTGTCTATTAGTTATTCTAATTTTAGTTTTTGTATTCTTAGAAATTTATATATATATATATATATATATATATATGTGGTTCGATTAAAATCATAGGGCTATATATATCATCCCTTCTACATTCTTCTGAATTATGTATTTATTCATGTCTGATATATGTGTTTTTAATTAATTAAAAATTAATAAGTTTTACATGTCTCTTTAATTTTGTACTTTCATACTGTATTTCAAATACATTAATTATAATTGTTGGTAGATTTAGTAAAAAAATTCTAATAATATTCTTTATGACTATTATAAATATGTTTAGTTCTTATTTCCTTTTTAATTATTATGCTAGAATCATAATAACATATCTGTAAATAACTTCTATTTATTTATTAAAATACTACTTTTCTCATTTAATTTCCACTCATTATAGGTTTTTTTTCTTCAAAATTTTATAGTGCAAGAAAAATTTATATTGAATACATAAATTTTTTTAATCAACAGTGTTTTTATTATTTTTACAGAAAATTATTTTTTTTTATGTATGGAATGTTTATATTATTCGCGTTATTTTATTACACACGTCAATATATGTAATTAATTTTTCAATATTTATATTTTGGCTGTAGTATAGAGGTACTAAAACTCATCTAGAGAGTTTATTCCTATTTGTTGGAAACTCTAAAATACAAAATTTTATTATATTTTGTATGATAAATAATTAGTTAATGATTCTGGAACAATAATATCCATTTTGTATTTAATTTTTTCGTTGTCGTGTAAATCGGAACTAAATTTTTTTTTACACTTTTGGTAAAATTTAATTTATTCTGAAAAATTTCAATTGATTTTTTAATCAAGATTGAAATATGATAAATACTATATTTGTTTTTTTTTGACATTATATATATATATATATATCTTCGAAGATTATATTATATTATATTATATATTATTATATATTATATTATATTGATTATCTTTGAAGATATATATAAATATATATCTTCAAACTATAAATAAGTATCTTATTGTTGCTAATTATATAAGTATATTAAATAAAGTATCTAACTATTTATATGTAATTGTATATGTAATTGTTTAAACAGTTAATTTAGAGAATAGTATTAGCCTAGTATTTTAGATGAATAAAAATTATATTAGAATACAAAGTTTAGCCAAAACTAATAAACAAATAACATTAAATAAATAATTTATTAAAATAGTTCTTATTAAGTATATGACTATATATAATTATAAATTTTATAATATATGTTTAATATTATAAACTAATTACATTAGTCAAATAAATTTATAAAAATGCTCTAGTATGTAGCATAGCAACATATAATGTGATTACATTAATAGATATGTTTATATAAATCTGGTTATAAATTGTAAAGAAAATTTTTCACCAAAAAATTATTGTAAAAAATTACATTCTACGTTCTCGAAAACAAATATTGATGATATATTTTGCGAATTTCCGGATGATAAAACGTTGAATAATAAATTTAAAAACAAAAAAAAAAATACAATTCTAAATAAATTTGTCTTACTAAACTATATTGTCATATATATCGAATAAAAGTTAATAGCCAGTGCTTTAACTTAAAAAAAATTTGATGATTTGACTATAATTGATAGAAAAGTGAAGAATCTTTGGTATTTCATAAAGCTTGTATTTCTATGAAAAAAGAGGTTACATATAAATATAAATACATTAGTTAAATGAGAATTGTTAATGTAATTTATTATTAATTTTGAACTCTCTCTCTGTATGTGTGCGTGTGTGTAAAGTATGTTTCTTTATTTGGAATACATTTGATAAAAGTTTTCTATGTAAGTTTATTCAAGTTTAATGACAGTCATCAATTATAGTGCATTTGAATAAAATTAGATTGTATAACGAAAATTATGGAGTTCACAAAATACAGAGATAGATAGAGAAAAAATGTCAAAATGTAAGAGTAAGACAGTAGAGAGAAGGAAGTGTGTTAGGCTGCATTACAGAGAAAAATTATGCTGTTTAGTGCAAAGTAGTTTAGATAGAAAGTGTAGCAGCTGGTGAAAGTACACGAAACGCGATTTCATCCGCTTACAAGAGTGGGAGATAAAAACAAAAAGAAAATTGAGAGAGTCAGAGAATAAGATATATATATGAGAGAGAGAGAGAGAGAGAGAGAGAGAGAGAGAGAGATGACGCATAGAAGTAGTTTTATAAACCAGAGGAAAAATGCAAAAGCAAAAAATATTGTATAGGAATAAAAAAAAAAAATTACAGAAATTTTAATTTGAAATTATGACATAGGAAACATTCGCGTAAATTTAGTAGTAGAAAAGTATAACATTTAGAAAGAATTAATTAATAAAAAACTGATTTTTTTTATTGAAAATATAATAGTTTTTATGATTTTTCGTTACACAATATATATATTTAAAATATAATTTTAAATGAAACGAACTTATATATAATTAGACATCAGGTTTCAATAAAAAAAATATTTTCATGAATTCTTAAATATCGTTATCAATATTTTTATTTATTTTTTCCAAGGTTCAATATTGTACCAAATCCAGAATCTTGTGTAATAAATTAAAATTGGAAGAAGAATGATAAAAAATTTATTATTTTATACGATGTTTATTTATATTCACGTTAATAAAAATAGGAGTGATCTCTGCGTGGACGAAAATACTATCTTTTGCATTTACTATTGTCGCTCAACTTTTATTATATTTCTGTTATTTATAAGTTGTAACTTTGACCTTATTTTTCAAGTCTCTAATGATTGATTTACTGGAGTAATTGATTTTCACCTTTCTCTTTGGCCATATACCAACTTCTATCGGATTAACAAACGTTTCTATTTCGATTTCTTTAATTTAACCGGAAGTTAGTTAACTTTTTCTGCATTTTTGTTTGTTTTGACTAGCTCGGCAAATGGATTGCAAAGCAGTGCTGCTTATATCTTGTGATATTTTTTTTTCACCTTCTTCAAGTGTATCACGTATTATGTTTCCATCATTCATCTGTTTATTCCTAGAACAGCATATGCACCCAAAGTTTCTTATATTATTATATATTGTAGTTAGCATATTTTATTGTTTTTAGAGTTTTGCATCGTATGGCTTTGAGACGCTTAGACGATCTATATAATCAAATATATATTAATGGTTAATGTGTATTTTATACCCTTAAAATTAGTTTACAAATTTGAATATTTTTGATGATACATTATATTTTTTATATAGCGAATTATTAATAATATATTAATGAGATTTAGTTATATAGAGTTAGATTATAAACTTATTATTTATGATAAAAATAGTAGCAGATAATCTTTTGTAAAAATTTAATGTTTAAAATTATATTTAAAAAGTCAACATGCTTAAACTATTAAAAGTATCGTAGTATAAGATATATTTTTTGTCTAAATCTTTCAAAATGAATTAATTTATTATATTTAGTAAAATGTAAGCAAGTACACTTTGTAATCATTCATGTTTATATTATAAATTTCCTTTAATTATGTATAAAGTAAGATACGACATATTAAATAAATTTCCTTTCATATTTATTTTAAATGAAAATTTATTTTAAATGAATAATTATAGTACGACTACTTTTATGTAGAAATATATTACAAAAAAGTAAAATATATCTTCCACTGTATAATATTTAAGAAACAAATATTTTTTTATTAATTTTTTTTTTTAAATCAGTAAGTAATTTATAAACATATCATAATTATGCATAATTTTAATTATACTAATTTTATGTGGCCGAATAATACTTAAAAAAAATTCGTGTTTTTTCATTAAATATAGCAATAACCTCCTGCACTTTGTTGTTATTATTTCACAAATCTTCACTGAATAAGGTCGTAGAAAACATTGTTTTGTAATAGTAATATCAACTTAATTAAAGAAATTTAAATAATTTCATGGATCCTGGAAAGTATTTATTTGTAAATACTCACTTTATAAAGTGTTTATACTATTAAATAGTTTGTAATATATAATTTGATATAATATGATGAATGCTCTGCATTTCCAAAAATAATACTTAAAGTGACATTTTAGCATAGAAATAATGTAAAAGTAGTGTAAAAAGTAAATATAGTATATAATTATTTTGGTGTAGTCCCGACTCATTAACAGACCACGCTCAACATTACCATGCATACAAGTAAAAGCTCGAGTGGCGGAAAAGGAAAGATTCTTTGAGCAATGAGAGCTGGCATCCGTGTGTTACAACGAAACGAGTCACGAGTTCCTTGGCATAGGCATAGCTTAATGACCCTCTCCCAGAACAAGCCGGACAAGCCAACTTTCCCCTGTTGGTTTGATTCTCGGTAGGTTTATTAAAAAAATATTTACATTCATACAGAGGTCGAAAAAATATGAAATTAAATTCATCCATTAAATGTTGAATATTTCTTAAGAAATCAAGATGAAAAAAAAATAAGCAAGAATAAAAAGTGACCTATGTGCGTGGATCTTTAAGGTTGAAAAAGAATATTCTCTGTTCTACATGAAGCGGCACGTCGTTGTTTTTCTTTCAATTCACAATCTTACTCTTTATTTCTTCTCTATGCTCCTTTTCTTTGTTTATAATGCATCATGTGCTTTGCCTATATCATATGGCCATATAGCTAACTATTTTTGTAAATTACTATATATAATGCTCGTACTCATGGTAGGTTTAGGGTAACAGATTAATAACAAATGAAAAATTCCCCCTATATATTACTACATATATTTATAAAAAAAAAAAGTAATTTATCGGTTCATTCGGTAATATATAATCAGGCATAAAATTTTTTTTTTTAATAAAAAAGGTTTGATGAAATACTAATAAATATGAATCTTTTCATTTAGATTTATTGTTACAGATGTATTTTAGAGGCAGATTGTAAGGTTTAATAAAAGAAGATAATACCATGAGAATTAAATGTGTCAATATATTAAAGTTTTGAATCCAATAGATTATTTTATATTTTTTTATTTTATTTTTTCTGTTTATTAATAATAACAAATATTTTATAGGATCTTTAAACAAGAAGGAAAAAATTACATTTGTATGAATTAATTTTATTTAAATTCATACAATTCGTTGGCATCAACGAAGTATTTGTGATTACTTTTTGTTAACACTATGTTTATTTTACTTTTTCTTTCTCTCTATGCGGTACCTTCAACTCCAGATTTCTCAGCAACTAATCATCTGCTGCATCGACTACTCTGTTGTTTCGAGGGATTGGCATATTTTGTTAATATAGACTACTCTCGTGTTTCAATTTCAAATGCTCTCGTTGCGAGTAAATTACTGAAACTTTCGTTCCTCTTTAGGAGTGACCATGTGTCGCAGACTTTTGTGGCTCTTCTCGCTCTTTCAACATTACGATTGAATCCAGCGATCCGTGTGTCTTTTATATTTCTCATATTTACTTTCTGTAGACTTCTTCTGTCATTACTTATCGGTTTTATCATAAAGTATATACTATTGCGCCTAATGATCTCAAGGACGCGATAAGTCCCGAGATTAGGATACACGCATACACAGTTTTTCTAAAAGTGTATGTTTATTGACAATATAAGTTGTGATCGATTAAAAGCAAAATTATAGTCTATAAAAGTTTCCCTGGTGATGATGTAAGGTTATTTTCTATCGTTTTATAAGATCTTCAACAATTGTTATACATTTTCATTTAATATATATATAACTTTTTGTAATACATAGACATAAGTTTCACTACATTATTTTTATAAGATTTGTATATAGCAGAAACCGAAGTTTCCTTTCCAGACGCATAAATGTTTCACTTTTCATTCATTAACAGGCAATTTAGTTGATCTCGATATTCATTACAAAGCTCGTTTGAATGTTAAAATAAACTCTTAACCAATTGTATAAAAAATTATATTTTTTCACTTAAATAATATTTCACTTATAAAAATAGAAGAATTATTGTAATGATATTGAAATTATTTTTATATTTTATGTAGGGGTACGCTTGAGGTGCCAATGGTATATAATGCTGCGACTATCAAATGCTCATGGGGTGAACTTATTCGTAAGGCTGATCGAGCAAATCGAAATTTTCGATATCCTACCTTTAGAGTTCGAGGGATGACAACTTCACATATTTTACGCTGGATTATAGTTCTAATTTTCGAATGGCTACCATCCATCATCTGCGATTTTATTCTTGGAATATGTTATCAAAAGCAAAAGTAAGTTAATATACAATAATACATAAGGGAATATATATAGTTATTCGTTTTCAGTACTGCACATACAGGTTTAAATAATATTGATAGAAATTACTCGTATGAATTTAACTGAAACATATTATAAACCGTAAAATCTAATTTTATTTTTAAAAAATACTATTTTTTAACTATGTCGTCATTATGTAAATTATTTTTGAATTTTAACATTTATAGTTCTATAGTGAGCAGCATTTCATTAATTATTCATCACTTTGTCAATCATATGGTATTTTCTAGTACAAATGTAATAAATTTTTCATAAATATAAATAATATAAAATTCAATTTTTGTAACATCATGTAATTAATAATACATTAATAAGAATTTATATAAGTATTATAATCAAAGTATGGAATATTTCTCAAACTTTAGATGAAATGAAAAGGACAAATTTAAAGAGGAAAAAAAAATGATCAAGAATAAATGAATGGGAATCACTTATAATATATTTCTTAGAACCAGAAATAAAAGTTCAACTACGTATAAAACGGCTAGTAATCTAGTTGTAGACAGGAAATTGTCAAGAGTTTCGTAGTAAGAACTTAAATCAAAGCTGGTATTATAGAGAAACTTCTATGACTTCTTCAAAAACATCTAAAAACACGGATTTATGTTAATATCTTTTAGAAATAAATACAAGGCTATAAAGAATTCTTATAATATTTGTCAAAAATAATTAGTATGTTTATTTTTTTTCATTTGCTCTTGTAAATTGTTGTTGTAAAAGTACAAAAATCAAATTAATTTATAATTTTAATCATTTTTCATAATGTTCTAAATACAACTATATCGTTATTAATAAAGATTACACATACATAAAAAAAAACTAACAAGGTTATATTAATTATTAATGATATAATAAAAATATTAGATAAATAAATATAATAGATTTTTAGTCTAATTTATAATAGATTTAGTTAAATAAGACATTTACTAATGTCATTATTTAATTTCATTTATAATAATTCAATAACAAATGCGAAATTATATATAACTACCTATGTAAAGTTGTTTTTCTGGTTCTGTTTATTAGTATTTAAAAAGTTGCTTGTTTTATTAAAAATATATGATAAAATATATTCAAAATATTTATTAGAAAATATTAAAAAACCTGTAATAAACATGTATAATAATTCGATGTAATTATATAATACGAATGTTCAGTCTTCGTATATGCAAGTTAATATATTACTCAGCTAATAGTATAAAAAATTTATTGTGGAAATTAAAGAAATTTCATCTTTAACAAATAATAATATCAATTATTACCTTACTTACTTTATGTATATAGTCATAAAGAAAAATATCATTGTAAAGAACACAAATAAATTTACATATTTAATGTAGTTAATTAATTTTATTTATTAAAGGATAAATAATTAGTTTAACAAATTATAAAGCATTTATTTAGTACTTCATATTTATTTACACATTTATTATATGTGGAATAGTGTTTTATATATAATAATACTATGATTAAAAAAATTATATAGAAACAAAATCAAAAAATTTAATTAGATAATTGTTAATTACATTTACTAATAATTAATAATGGAGCGTTTATAATTAATTTATAAAGTAATTTATATTTATGCTATTTAAATATATTTATTTATAATTCATTAATTGCATTTTTTTGCATGCTATTCATTAAAAATGAACAAAGATTTTACAACATTCAAATAAATGAAAATTCGTTTTTAATATATAAAATTATATGGATAAAAAGATGTAAAAATAATATTTAGTAATAACAAATTTTTTCTTTAGTAAATATTTTTTTTTGTTGTTAAATGCAAAGAAAATTAGGTCGATTTGTTTTATAGATACTATGATATGTACATATTTGTAAAAAGTATTAATCACTTTGTTAATTTTGAAAGTATAATTATCTGTTTTTCCAATGTAATATAAGAAATATAAGAATAAACTGATATTACAATACAATATTCAAACTATAAATATTTACTTCAATCTCAAACAAATAATTTGTATTTACATTTTTCAGTATCGTCGCAGAACATAAGCGCGTTCGCAGTATTCTTAAGGACTTTGAATCTGTGACACTTAAAGTATTAACCACGCAACGTCAAAATATATATAATCTCCAGTCTTTACTCAGTTCTGAAGAAAAAGAATTATTTTGTCTACATGCTCAGATGGATATTGAAGCTTATATATTGTGCGCAGCTGCAGCAACAAGAAAGTATTGCGTTGATGATAGCAATTTGAGAATTGTAAGCTTTTTTACTCCAACGCTTCTAGCTCTATTTTTCCTGATTTGTGGTTATTATTTTATAAGATAATTTTTTATATTTCTTATCTATTGAGAAACTGTATTTTTCTTCTTATCACCACAAACATAATTTTTTTAATTAATTCCTGGTTTTGGACTTATTGAATAAGTTTAATGGTAATAAGTTGATTATGTTTTCATAAATTTATTAATTACATGTAATAAAGTACATATATACTAATAGGGAAATAATTTATGTAATGAAGCTAAAGTGCAAAAATGCACAATTAAATTTTCTTATATAATCTGAAAAATCTAATAAAATTAAAATATTTCATCACTATAATTTTTATTCTTCCATTGGATTAACGAATTGTATAATTCATTAATTTCATACAAAAAGAAAATTTTTCGAAAATAATTATATGTTTATATTTTATTCTATTTATTCTTTATATTTTAGTAATTTACTATTTCTCTATCTTAAAACAGTTTCATGGTATTTTACTAAATTTCTTTTTATTGTTATGTATTCATATACAAAAGTTTAAAATAATTTTTTAATCTAACTACATCAATAAATATTAATTCAAAGCGTTTTGGAAATATAATCTACATATTAATCATTTTATTGTTAAAAAAAAAGTTTTAAAAGAGCTTCTGTTTGTACAAAAATAAATCAGTTTATATTTTTTTTTTTGCTACGACAAATAAATTCTTATAATCACTACAAATACCAACATCTACATATTATTTCATAATCAACTGTATTTCCATTTATTGTTTTTGAGAAAATCTGAAGTGTATCCACTCGAAATCTATGTAAGGTTTTTTATTTGTATAATATCTTTTTATATATTCAATAAATAAAAATGTTGTTTTATATACGTATGATTTCAAATAATTTGAATTTGTTATTTTCTAGTGTACATCAAATATATATTAAAAAATGATGCAAATAATTTTATATATAAATTCTGCAAACAACTTTTATGTATAAATATATTTTATATATAAATTCTCTATAGAAAATCCATATATATAAATTCTTTATTATTGAAACAAATTAAAAAGTAATCGCATATTATAAATATTATATTGAATAGTGTATTGATTATATTTAATTTTGTTAAATCTTGTAAACATTGTATATGTAACCCCCCTCCTATTTCAATTTTTAATACTGTTGACGTTCATGCTTTTATTTAACTATTTTATAGTAATTTTGGGAGGTTTTGATATTATTTATTAATATATAGTTATATATAGATATATATATATATATATATATATATATATATATATATATATATATATATATATGTACATACACAAATATATAGTAATATATCATTAAATAAATGAAGAGTATTTTTAAATATAACCTTCTATGTAATGCGATAATAGTTTAATTACTATATAAAACACAAAATATGCAATGGTAAAGTAAATCGGATAAGGTAGTGAGAAATTGATGGTTTCTATCTTGGTTACAAGTTAATTTTATTTTTTGTCTCATTTATATTGTAGTTTCTTCCATCCTTTCTTATTATTTTAGAGCCATCTACACATATTACTTCACTCACTATCAGTACATAACGACATTTATAATAATAAGTTAATGTTGAAATTTTTAATGTCAACAATGTATCTATTAGAATGTTAGAAGTTATTATTATGATTTTCATAATATATTAACACATAATTGTTTTCTAGTGTACTATTATAATATTTATTTCTGATAGTAAATATACTTATTTATATCTACATATTTATATAGTTTTATATAACTTTATATATAGTTTTCATAAAAAATAATTATTAAGCTGAAACGAAAAAATTGATGCACATCTTTATTTTTAAATGAAAGAAAAAATTGTTATTTAATATGTGTATTCGTCATTTATTCTTTTAAAATACTTAATCGACAGTAAATGTCATTGATAATAATGAGAGCATTTATAAACTGGGCTGTATCAGTACGTATACCAGATAAATAAAAAGTGTTAAAAAAATAAAACAGTTTTTAAGAAATGGCAGGTTCATGTAACACTAGTCATTAAAATTAATATTTTCTTTGTTTCAAAATAAAATAAGCTTCAATTTTAACGATGAAGTGTTGAATTTTCTATCGTAGTTGAACAGTAAACTATTTTATAAAATGTAAGTTACGATTAAAGTTATAGTTTTCCAAGTGATTTCCTCAGTACTCATGTATTCCTAGTATAACAAAATACAAAACAGATCAATTAAGGAGGACGCATGTAAATACAAATCAGACCGGCCAGATTTATTATACTAAATATATTAAATTTTAATTATATTCGGATAAAATTAAAATTTTAAATATGACCTTTATGGAAATTGTCTATTATCATGTATAGATTTTTAATATAATCACTAAAAGTATTTTGGTAAAAAAGTTTTGGTACAGGTATTTTATTAATTGATTTTTGAATATGTTTAGCTACGAAGTTATAAAAATTATAATAGTGTTTATCAATCTAAATTAAAAAATATATAATAAAAATAATAAAGAATACAAGTATATAAATTAACGTACGTCTAAAATAAAAACTTCTGCGAAAGTAATTAAAAATGTAAAGTATCTGTTTATTTTAAATGAAGGCAATTTAGAACAGCAACAAAAAATTATAATAACAATTTTTAAATATATATATATATATATATATATATATATATATATAATATATATTAATGCATAACATAATAAATAATAAATTCTCACTATATTTTATTCACTTCAAAAGCACTACAACAGTTAAATATTAAGTTTAAAACTAGCGTTTCTAATTTGAAAATAATAGTTATTTACTTATTTGTTTTAAATTATTTATTTGAATAGTTTAAGCAGGAGGAATTGCATATTTCATGATAATTAAATTATAAGTAATATATTTCATTATATTTTTATCAATATATTTTTTATTACGCTTTTATTAATTTTTTTTCAATTAATATAAATATAAATATAAATATTTGTAATTTTTTTTATTATTATATTATTGAAATGATTAAATTAGCTAGTTATTTGTATTCCATATCTATATTGTTTCTATTAAACATATATCTTGATTAGTAGGCATCATTAATTGGATACTGTTAGAAATTATAAAATAAATAAATATAAATTAAACTTCAATAAATTTATTTATTTGAATAAGTACTTAAGTTAGATTTACATAAATTCATATTCATATATAATCATTAATTGAAATAATTGAAAATCAGATTTAATAAGGATTTCAAAGTCTTAAAAACGATATACATTTATTTTTCTAAGAATATTTTTAAATATATTATATTGAATAAATTATTAAATTAGATTATTATGATTTTTTGGATTTTAATTTTTACAATATTATTAAATTTTATTTAAATTTTTAATAGTATATAAAATTATTTGAAATTGTAGTAGTATTTTAAACGTTTTTACTTGAAACTTAGTACTTGTTCAAATTATATAAAAAATCACTTGCGTTTGTTTGAACTTCATTTATAAATACTATCTTATCAGAATCTAGTCTTTTAACTTTTTTATCTATAAATAAAAAATAGAAATATGAAAAGAATATCTCATAAAACATTCAACGCATGAATCAATTGAAATTAAGGAGAGATTAATGATTTTATAATGAATTTTGTTTATTATTTTTTATTTATAATAGACACTTTAGCTTTTAATTATTCTAAATTAAATATTAATTAAAATAGTTAAATATTAATATACCAACATTCAAAAAATTATTTAAAAATTTTAGAAATATACAATTTAGATTCTGAATCTAAAAAAGAAATACATTACGATATAACCTAATTTTACTATTGCTACTACCTAGTACCGCAGTATATCTAAATACAAAATATATGATAAATAACTATTAAAATTTTATTAATATCCATGTATATTTAGAAATAAATTGAATTGCAGCTATTTTATAGTAGAACTAATAGATTGTTTTTCTATTTGCGAGGTGCTAGAAAATTACTTGCAGTTGATTTTGAAGTTTAGTTAATAATATTACTAACTAATTAATTATTTTAATAATTATATTCTTGATGATTTGTTAAATTGAGAAATCGATATAATTATTACCAACTCTTTTTCTAAATTATTAAAAAGTCTTTTTAGAATTAATTTCTTTGTGATAAATTATCTCCTTTTTTCTATATTATAGGAGTATAATACCTTTATAATTTGCATTCAGAGTTAATTAATTTTTGCAGCATATAAAAATACTTAAAATAAATAATTTTAGCAGTAAAAATTGATTTAACTAAGGAAAACAGATGAAATGAAATATAAGTAAGGTCGATTTGTAAAAGAACGAAGAAAGTAAATGTTATAGAGTATCCTTTCTTCGCGTTTAGCTTTATCACTCACGTCGACAAAAGAAATAATAAGACGAGACGCTACGCTGCTCTTTTGGATTCGAATAGAATAGCCGGTGGCTTCGCTTTCGCTTACTAACACACATATACACAGTGAGTTGGCAAAAAATCATAAAAAGAAGAAAGGAAATGAAACAAGATAGAGGAAAGTACGAATAGGTAGAAAGATAGGGACAGGATGATAGAAGAAAGTTGGCGAGGTACGGAAATCGATAAACGGAGAAAAGAGAAAATATAAAACGGAACAGAAAAAGAAAGATAGTTAAGTATAAAGAAAAAAAGCAGAAGAGTCCTGGTAGTAAGATAGGTTCATTCCGGAAAGAAGGATTTTGTAGGTCAACTCCTATAGACTATCTCTATAAATTACTGTTAATCGAACGAATTACAGGGATTTTCCTACAGATGCAGTTCTCTCTCTCTCTCTCTCTCTCTCTCTCTCATGCCTTTTCCTATATTTATCTCAAATTTTGGACAATTCAAACCTACACATAAGTATAACATATTTGAGATCGTTTCTAAAGTTATTGTCATATGTGATGTATATGATAGTAGCAGTTAATTTGACAGAGTCATTTATGAATAGATATTCTGAAATAATTCCAGATTTAGTATATTAAAAAAAGATTTAGACAATATTTGTTTCAGTTATAAAGATAATTTATTA